GTGAATCCACAAGAACTTCTCCAGCTGCACTGGGGAAAGTGAGAACAGGGCCGGGACAGGCAAGGGGACGAGTGGGGGCGGTAACTAGACTGGAAAGAGTCAATGCGGGGGGGGGGGGCGCGAGGGTTGGTAAGCAGGCTGTGTGAGATCAATTGCCCCTTCCCTGCCCCACACCCTATACTGCCGCCCTAGTGCCCATTATACAGTATAGCCGCCCCTTCCCTAACCCCACTCTCTGCTGCCCCTAGTGCCCGTTATACAGCATAGCTGCCTGTTCCCCCCTCCCACTCTCTGCTGCCCCTAGTGCCCGTTATACAGTATAGCCGCTCCTTCCCCTCCCCTGCCCTCTGCTGCCCATAGTGCCCGTTAGAGGACACAGCTCCGCCATGCATTACGGTGTCTTGTTCTTGCAGGCCTGCCCTGCTTCCGCAATGGGTCTCTCTCAGGATGGGCTCAGCCTGCTCTTGTTCCTGGTGCTGGCCTGCTGCCTGGCCCCGCCTGTCCGCTGCCAGGGCCCGCGCTACGAGAAGTTCCTGCGGCAGCACCATGACCACCCGCGGACCAACGCCGGGAGGGATTACTGCGGGGCCATGATGCAGCGCCGGGGCATGGCCCGGCCCTGCAAAGACATCAACACCTTCATCCACGCCTCCAAGGCCCAGATCCAGGCTGTCTGCGGCTCCGGGGGCATCGAGTACTGGGGCAGGCGGCGCAGCCGGGCTCAGTTCCCCGTCACCACCTGCTCACTGAAGGGCCCCCCGTGGGGCCGGTGCAGCTACCAGGGCCACGCCAACCACAGATTCCTCGTCATCACCTGCGACCCGGCAGGCTGGCCCATGCAGTTCGACGAGAGCCACATCATGTGACGGGGCCGGGCACCACTGCCCTGCCCCGCCTTGGCATGGAACTGAGTCCTTGGCCACACGTTGTATCGAATGGGCCAGACCCCCGGCTGGTGTGAATGGACTCCAGCTCCATAGGGGTCAGTGGCACCAGCCCCCCAGCTGGTGTGAAAGGACCGTAGCTCTGTGGGGGTCAATGGGGCCAGCCCACCAGCTGGTGTCAATCTGCATCTCTCTATTAACATTGGCACCACGGGAGCAGCGCTTCAAAGCCATGCAGCTCCTGTCAGGTGAGATTTGCTCTGGACACAAGCCCAGGACTGCCCGGGCCACGCAGGCTGCCTGGTCGTTCGCCCCGCTGCTTGCGTCTCTGGGCGGCCTGAACACCAGCCGCGCTGCAAAAGGCGGGGGTGGGGGGCTGTCCATGTATGGGGGAGCTGGGTTGGGGGGCGGGGCGAGTGCAGTGCAGGCAGTGGGGCAGGTGCATCTGGCTATGCTCAGATGTCCTGTCCTTGCTCCGCTCCTGACTCAATAAAGGCTCCATTCTGCAAAGCACCTGGGCTTGTGTCCCCCCCAATGCCGTCTCTCTTCCTTCTCCTTGGCCTAGAAACCCCCCGGGTTCCTCAGGGCTACATCCGCCCCTGCTGTACACCTGGGTCGCCCCGCCGGTGCCGTGCGGCCAGATCCCCCCAGTGTAATTCAACATAGCTTCAGTGGAGTCAAGCCTTCTACGATGCTGATTGGGCCCCAGGGCAGGGGACTGGCTGGCTCAGAAGGGTGGGGAATGGGGCACGGGGCTTTTCCCCTCTAGGGGGTACAGGCTCCCATCCGGCCCCAGGGCAGGGACTGGCTGGCTCAGGGGGCAGGGAATGGGGCATGGGGCTTTCCCCCTCTAGAGGGTTCTGGCTCCCATCTGGCCCCAGGGCTGGCTCAGAGGGGCGGGGAATGGACTATGTCTCCTTTCGTATTCTCCACCTTCCCAGCTGACACCATTCCTGTCGGTCCCTGGCCGGTACCTTTTTGATGGATGTGCTGGCCACAATGCCCCCTCCTCCCCAGGCCGTCTGATCTGCGTGGCCTTGGCCAGGCCGTTCCCCCCCACCCCCCAGCCATTCCTGAGCCTGCCCACTCCTCCCTCTTGGCTGGGGCCCCCGGTGCAGCTACCAGGAACCAGAGAGTGGGACTTGGGGCTGCCCCAACGGGCGACATGGCAGCCGGTTCCAGCGCCTGGAGAAGGACAATGGGCCAGTGACCTGTGCGTTCAGTGCGGAGCCAAAACAATGGGGCCGGCCTCAGGCAACTCCACTAAATCGTCCCCTGGGGGTCACCTGCCCCACGGCGGCCTTGCCAAGCCGGATCAGCCCTTGGGCTGGGCGGTGTGGCATCCTGTCTCCAGAGTGCTGGTCCTTGGACAGAAAACCCGCTTACTGCCGTGCCTACCTCGGCCAGGCCCTCCTGGCAGGTCAGGTTCTGCCCCGAGACACCAGACTTCCCTTGGGGGGAAGCGACTGGGGCTCCTGACAGTCCCCGGCTCTGACCCAACAGGACAGTCCTGAGAAGTTGGCCCTTCAGCAGTAAGCAGCTCTCCAGCCATATGGGCCCAAGGGTAAGGCGATGGACTGGAAGTGGAGACACCTGAGTTCAGTTGTGCTCCCTGTGTGACTTAGGGGGCAGATTTTCCCCATCCCCTTTGGCTTTACAGTAGAAATTTATGGGGAAAAGGGGCCCAAATCCCTCCGTGGCTTGGAAAGTCTCAGTGTTTTTTTTTAAATAAAAGCTCGGTGCCTCAGTTTCTCCATCTGGAAAATGATGCCAACCTACCACAGCTCCCGCCTGCAGGGCCCCCGTTGTGCCGGGCGCTGCGCAGACCCCGACCGAGATCAGAGCCCCATAGTGCTGGGTTCTGTACACTCCCACAGTAACAGACAGGCCTCGTCTCAATTTGCTCACAGTGCAAGGCTAGGGTTTTCAGAGCAGTTTGAGGCTACAAAGCAGCCTATGCAGAGAAACAGTGGGAGAAAGGAAGATGATTATCTGCCCTTCTGGGGAAACTGAGGCACGGGGAGGCAAAGGGACTTGACCAAAGGCTGGGACCATGACCCAGGTCTCCCACCTCCAGGTCAATGCCTCAGCAGCCTCCTTTGCCATCAAGAAGTTTATAGCCTGGTACATGGAGCCCACTACCTGGTACATGGAGCTGGATTAACTGCCCAGCACCCCACACAGAACCCTCTACTCCCTAGTGCCCCAACACACAGAGATCTTCCCTGCCCCCTCACAGCCCAGCACCCTCCCCCCAGGCCCTCCAGAGACCCACTCCCCCAAGGTCTGCACTCACCGGCCCTCTGGGAGGCAACTGTCTACCGGGCTGAGCTGGTAGCGCAGCCAAGGGTGGTCCCAGGGCGGGGAATCGCCCCGGCCCCTTGGGAGTGGTGCGATCAGCCAGGCCAGCGCCTGCCCTGGCCGGGCTCCCTCAGGACCCACTTGCCTGGCCCTGGAGGGGCCCAGCCAAGTCACCCACACTGCCCCTGCCCGCAAACTGACCGAGCCTGGCCAGGCTTCTGCACCAGTCCCAGGCGGCTCAGCTCCAGGGAGACAGGTGGGGCCCCACAGGTGGTGGGAAGCAGAGACTGCCTGGAGCTAGAGGTGCACTGGGGTCCAGCCAGGGTGAGGCCAGGGGGTGGAGAGGAGCCCTTGGCCAACCAGCGGGCAGGCCGAAAGGAGCAAGTAGTGGGCAGCGGAGGGGAGCCAGCGGACTGGCAGGATCTCAGGGCACAGTGCAAGCAGAGCAGGACAGGGCCCCTTCTGAGCATGAGCCTGGCTCCATGGTGCCATTGTAAACCCGGCACTGCCCACCACGCCTTCCCCTAGGGGTCACCGAGCAAGACCCTATGGTCCCACCCCAGCCAACCCTGCTCCTGGCTTCGGAGGTCACCAGGCTCCCTAGTGCTGGAAGGAGCTGGCTAAACAACTAGCCGGTGCCCAGTGCTCACTGGCTTTGTGCTCCACCCGACATCTCTGGGCCTGGGCAGGTGAAACTGGCTCGAGGGAGCCCTCTCTGGCCAGCCAGGCTGTATATAAGGGGCACATGCCAGGCTGGAGACTCAGACGCTCAGCTTTAGACCCTGTGCTCCAGCAGGAGTGAAGCCACCAGGTAAGGCAGAGACTGGATTAAACCCAGGGTGGGGAGCAGGGCCGGCCCGGGGCGGGGCGGGGAGGTGGGGTGCCCAGCTCGGCCAGAGGAGAGGCTGAGAAGGTGACTGGGTCAGTGACGGATCTAGCTAAGGGGAACAGAGCTCTGGACCTTTCCCAGCCCCCTGAGACCAGCTGGAAAGAAATGGACAGAGAGACTGGCCCAGAGGGACAGACACCCACAGCTTTTGGAAAGATGCTCACCTAGGCAGGTACGCACACCCCAGGCAGGGCATAGAGTGAGGCGACCAGATGTCCCAATATTAGGGGCTTTGTCTTATTTGGACAAATATACCGTCTGCCCCTGAAAAAAAGTGTCCCAACTTTTCACACTTGCTAACACAGACAGGCAGAAACACCGAGTGGTGAAAGCCAAAGACCTCGGCACGCGACACAAATGAAGAGCCAGGCAGACAAAACCCAGAGAGAGACACATAGATGCAAATCGATCCAGTGAGGCCAGGCAGTGATTGGCTTGAAGCCAGGACTCCTGGGTTCTATCCCCAGCTCTGGGAGGGGAGTGAGGGCTAGTGGTTAGAGCAGGGGGACTGGGAGTCAGGACTCCTGGGTTCTACCACTGGCTCTGGGATGGGAGTGGGTCTAAGGTTATAGCTGGGAGGGCTGGAAGCCAGGAGTGGGGTCTAGTTGTTGGAGGGAGGGGCGGGGGGCTGGGCATCAGGACTCCTGAGTTCTGTTGCTAGCTCCTGCAGGGCGTGTGTGACTCCAGACAGTCACTTAGTCTGAGATTTTCCAAAACTGCTTAATCAATTTGCGCAGCCGGTGCCCACGGAGGGAAGCCTTAGAAACCTCATGCTCAGTGTCTCCATGCCTCAGTTTCCCACCCGTACCACGGCCACATGGCTATGCCCCACGTTTGCGGGGTCAGCCCAGGGGGGCTTCTCCCTCGCTGCCGTGGCGGGGGGCACGTACCGAGCCAGACGGCCCTGCGTGATGTTGCAGGTGGCGATGGGCGCTCTGAAGGGCACCGGCCCCCTCTTTCTGGCGCTGCTGGTGGCCTGCCTGCTCCTGTGCGCCTCAACCCACGGCCCGCGCTATCAGAAGTTCCTGCGGCAGCACCATGACAACCCGCGGACCAATGCCGGGAGGGATTACTGCTGGGCCATGATGCAGCGCCGGGGCATGGCCCGGCCCTGCAAAGACATCAACACCTTCATCCACGCCTCCCGGGCCCAGCTCCGGAGCGTGTGTGGGGACGGGGGCACGCCCTACCAGGGCATGCGCCGCAGCAAGAGGCCGCTGGCCGTCACCACCTGCGAGCTCAGGCGGACGCAGGGAGCCCGGTGCATCTACCGCAGCCATGCGGCCTCCAGGTACATTGTCATTGGCTGCGTCCACGGCATGTGGCCGGTGCAGTACAACGAGAAAGCGTGAGCTGCACCAGAGCCCAGGGAAGCGCAGGGCGCAGCTGCCCTGGGCCTGGAGGCAGGAGGGGCCCTAGGCTGCGTTGAGCTGAGTTTGCCCTTCAGTGCTGGGAATAAAACACATTTACTGGAACAGATGTGGCTGCGAGTGTGTGCAAGGGTCTAGAGGGGGCGCTGTGGGGTAGGAAGTGGGGTGCAGGGCTCAGCAGGGGGCATTCTCCCTTAGCAGTCAGTGCTGGCCCCACTGCAGCACTAGGGGGCGCTGTGGGACAGGGAGTGGAGTGAGGGGGTTCAGTAGGGGGTGCTCTCCCTGGCAGTCAGTGCTGACCCCAATACCCCAGTGTAATGCTAGGGGGTGCTATGGTGCAAGAAGTGGGGCAGGGGACTCAGTAGAGGGCACTCTTCCCTGGCAATCAGTGCTGGCCCCAATGCCTGTATGGCACTTGGGGGCACTGTGCTGCAGGGAGCAGGGTGTGGGGCTCAGTTGGGGGTGTGCTCTTGCCTGGCAGTCAGTGCTGCCCAATGCCCTTGTGCATTGCCAGGGGGTGCTGTGCTGTGCGGAGCGGGGTGGGGGCTCAGCAGGGGGTGCTGTGCTGCATGGAGCGGGGAAGGGGCTCAGTAGGTGGCGCTCTCCCCTGGCAGTCAGTGCTGACCCCAATGCCCCAGTATGGCACTAAGGGGCACTGTGCTGCAGGGAGCGGGGCAGGGGTGAGCAGGGGGCGCTCTCCCCTGGCAGGCAGGGATGGCTCCACAGCAGTGCTATGGGGCGCTGGGCTGTGGTGAGTGGGGCAGGGAGCCCAGTAGCCCAGCGCAAGGATGGCCAGAGACTGCCCTATAGCCCAGCGAGTGGGGCGGGAGAGGTTGGGAGAGAATTGAAGTTTCTGAATCTACCAGCACCTGCCCTCCCTCGCTCAGTGGCTAGGACACGGGCTCTGTAAACCCGAGGACACAGCTGGTGCCTGGGCCGCATATTTGTTTCACGGAGGTCAGAGAACATGATCTTCTAGCCATTATAAGCACGGCAAGTGATCGCTCAGGGCCACAGGGATTTTTCAAAGGTGAATTAGCTCTGCCCTTTGAGACACACAGCCCCGGGTGGTACTGGCCCCTGAGCTAGCCCCTTGGAAAGTTCCTCTGCCTCTTTACAGTAAATGATGAGAGAGTCCTATTCCCAGAAATGCACACTTCTACAGGGAGTGCATTGGGCACCATGACCCCTCCAGTGTGCAGGCTCCCCTCACACTCTACCTTGCTTGATACAACCCCTGGGCCCAGCTAAACCGATATCCCCACTGTGACGCGTTCGGTCACAGAGACCCCCTTGGGACTGTCACCTGACATGCTGACGGAATTACCTCTGAGCCAGTTTTCCCTGCCAGCTTGGGACTCCAGAACCCTGCCTTGTTGAGCCAGACACGCTAGCCTGTTGCAACACAGACCCAGGTCTGGTCCACACCCCCAAAGCTGCAGACTTTAACCAAAAACTGCTCAGCAGGTCACCTGTCTCCAGCACCCAGACACTCAGTTTCCAATGGGATCCAAACCCCAAATAAATCCGTTTTACTCTGTATAAAGCTGATACAGAGTAAACCCATAAATTGTTCGACCTCTGTAACACTGATAGAGAGATATGCACAGCTGTTTGCTCCCCCAGGTATTAATCACTTACTCTGGGTTCAATAATAAACAAAAGTGATTTTATTAAGAATAAAAAGTAGGGTTTAAGTGGTTTCAAGTAATAACAGACAGAACAAAGTAAGTTACCAAGCAAAATAAACCAAAAACACGCAAGTCTAAGCCTAGGTTTCTAAGCCTAATACATTACGAAACTGTTTACAGGTAAATCTCACCCTCAGAGATGTTCCAATAAGCTTCTTTCACAGACTAGACTCCTTCCTAGTCTGGGCCCAATCCTTTCCCCTGGTACAGTCCTTGTTAGTTTCAGCAGGCATCTTAGATGAAAAGCAGGGGCTTTCTCATGACTGGTACCCCCTTTGTTCTGTTCCACCCCCTTTTACAGCTTTGGTCCAAGTCGGGAATCCTTTGTCTCTCTCTGGGTTCCCACCCCTCCCTCTAAATGGAAAAGCACCAGGTTTAAGATGGATTCCAGTTTAGGTGACATGATCACATGTCACTTTAAGACCTCCTTCTTCATTACCTAGGAGCTGGCGGACACTTACACAGGAAGGCTTGCAGGTAAACAAACCCATTCACAGTTCATTGATTCTGAAGCATCCTTAATGGCTTCCACTTAATGTTTTTACATCAGTAATACAAGTTTATATCTTATTCTCCTAACTCCAGACAGAGAAATAATACATGCAAATAGGATGAACACACTCAGTAGATTATAAGCTTTGTGGTGATACCTTAAAAGAGACCTCCTGCATAAAGCATATTCCAGTTACATTATGTTCACACTCATAAGCATATTTCCAAAAAACTTTATGGAGTGCAGCGTCACACCCACCCATGTGCCATGCCCAATCAGACCCCTGGGCCTTGCTACTCCACCCCCACCTCAGAACCAATGACCTTGAGTTAGAAATATAAACCAAGAGCCCCGATTTGTCCATCTCCAATCCCACCACTGGAGGTGTTTAAGAACAGGATGGACAAACACCTGTCAAGGGCTGGTCTAGGTTTACTTGGTCCTGCCTTGGCGCAGGGGACTGGACTCGATGATTTCTCACGGTCCCTTCCAGCCTGACATTTCTATTGTTCTTAATCTCTAAAATTCCCTCTACAGATTCGTTTGGATGCAGGCTTCCCCTTCACTTCCTCTCTGGAAACGTTTAGCATTGCTGCGCACTGTTAGCAGGTGGGTTCCAGCCCAGCAGCAGCTGCATTTCCCTCTGCAGCTACTTAGTAAAGCTCTTCAGGTGGGGGGAAAAGAGAGGAAATTTTTAAATCAGCAGGTCTAGAGAACTTGCATCCAAGAGTTTTAAAAGAGCTGGCTGAGGAGACCATTAATGAAGATTTTTGATCACTCGTGGACCACTGGGGAAGTTCCAGAAGACTAGAAGAAAACTAATTGTGTGCCAATTTTTAAAAAGGGTAAACGGAATGACCTTGGTAATTAGAGGCCTGTCAGCCAGACATTGATCCTGGGCAAGACCAGGGAGCAGCTGATATGGGACTTGATTAATAAATAACTAATGAAGAGTACTATAATTAATGCAAATCAACATGGATTTACGGAAACTAGATGCTGCCAAACTAATCTGATATTTTTGTAATGAGATTACACATTTGGTTGATAAAGGTAAAAGTGCTGACGTAACACACTGCAAATTCTGAAAGGTGTTTGACCTGGCACGACATTCTGATTAAAAATATCCAGTGGCTGGAAGTTGAAGCTAGACAAATTCAGACTGGCAGTCAACCTTGCATCCCAATCAGAGAAAAGCCCAATGCACTGAAAAGTCTCTTGTACTGTACTTGGTAGCAGCTCACCTCCTTGCCCTCAGAGGTAACGCCCCCTCTCACGCTAACTAGGATCTAAGGAAACAAAAGCCAGAGGGACTTTCCCCAGCCGAGCTCCGTCAACACAAAACACAAAACGACGTATTCTAGTTGCAAGCAATCCCACTGGAAGATCCAGGTTGAAAGCCTCAATGCCATCTAGGGGATTTAGGTGCATGTCTGCCACTAAAATTAATGGAAGATCTAGCTGAGAGTCCCAATGTCTCCTAGGGGATTTGGATGCTGAAGTCCCACTAATTTTAAATGGGGTTTGGGGCAGCTGACTGCCTTAGCCTGGGGAAATCTCAACCCTCTAAATTTCTGCCATTTCCTCGTCAGGTTCTTTACAGTGCAAGAGTTTCCAGGCTGGTCTGAATTTGCACCAGCTCAGACTTTGGCCCCTCACCTCTCTGTATTTGGCTATGAAGCTTGGGTAAGAGTCACCACAAGACCCTGTGACATTCCCACCTCTCTATGCAATGAAGCCCAGAGATCCCCTCCTCCCGCATTTCAGGGGGGTCCCACTATAAAGCAATTTATCTGGGGATTTTTCTAAGGGGTCTAAGGGAATTAGGTGCCCAGTCTGAGTCTGGCTTCCTTTGGAAATTCCAACACCGGCAGCCGGATGCTCAGCGGATGTAAAGCTGATGTCAGGCTCTGCCGTGGAGCTATGGTGTCCTACGCCCGCTGAGGGTGTTGGCCCTGTGTCTGTTTTACTCTGAAGGGTCACCCTCTTGGGTCCTCACATCCATGGGCTGGGGAGCCGGGGTCCCCCTTCCTCCAACCTTCATGGTCACAGGTGGCACAGCAGGGGGCCCCAGAAACACTGCAGGGTGCATAGTCTACGTCCCCCCCACTCCATCCCTGGCCAGGCATCTCTTGGATTTTACAGCTCAAAGCAGCTATGGAAAGACAATAAGATGGGGGGAGGGGAGGGGCTCAGAGCCAATCCCCCCCAAACACAGGGCAGGGGGAGCTGCAGAGACAAATCTCCCAATTAATTCCCTCCAATCCAGGCTGCAAATCAGTTCAAACTGCTTAGATCAAGACCAAAATCTGTCCCCATTTAAACCCCGACCCCCATTAAATCACTCAAACCCAGTCTGGAAAGAGAATCTCCAGTTAAACTGCAGTGCCTCATCTGCTAGGAGTCAAGGGGGGCAGTTTCCCCCCAGGTCTACATCCCCCCTCCAGCTGCTGCAGAATACAATACAATCCCAGACCCAGTGGCCTCTATGCTGATGGAATTTTCCCCCCACCCCCAAGTTTTTCTAAACCCCTGGTTTCAGGCCCCTCCCCATTTGCAAAGAATTTTGCCAGGTAAAGTGGTTCGGCCCCCTCACACCCAGTTTGAAAGCAGATTTCCAGCGCGTTAAATTGCCTCAGGCTCTCCCTTTTGCAGAGAAAATTTCCCCGTAAATTATTTTAGGCAGCAACTCCCCCGCCCCTCCTTCAGTTTACAAAAAAAAAATTCCACATTGTAAACCGGTTCAGCTAGCCCCTGCCCCTTTGACAAGAAGATCCCAGGGAAATTGCCTCTGCCCT